TGTATTTATAGCTTTTGTACCATAGTCAGATTAGTAATTATTTACATTATACAAAGTTTACTGTCATATTAGTAACGTGTTATACATATTTATATTTCTTAAAAATGAAGTTAACTATTTTACTAGATTGAACAAAAAAAAAATTAATTTAACCACTTACAATTTGACCTAATCACAAGTAATTGTTAATGCAGACTCCATTTTCCTAGGTGGTGATCTCAATTGTACATTATTAACATTTTAGTATGCTGATTCACATTCATCTGGTATGCCTTGATCAATATGTTTTGAAACTGTCTGACATGGTTTCAGGGGTGGGCAATGGAATTCGGGAGGACAGTGTCACAAAGAAACTGAGCCAATATCTAATGGAAAGCACTTGCACAAATATCCCTTGAAAATGAGGGCTTTGGAGCATGTCGTCATCCCAAAGATGAAAACTCCAGTGATATATATGAACATTAGTAGGCTTACAGATTACAGAAAAGATGGACATCCCTCTATATACAGAAGGGAGTATAAGACAGCAGAGGAGCAGGCTTCTGCTGAACTACACCAAGATTGCAGTCATTGGTGTTTGCCTGGAGTACCTGATACTTGGAATGAATTACTGTATGCTTCTCTATTGAAATATGGTAAAGGCCCTTGGAAAAGTTGACCAAAACTCCTCAAAATCATTCCAATATGATCTCTGATTCTTTATACATATTCAACACATGTATATTCATTGATTTCTCACATGTAAGTGTCCATCAGAAGGTGTGTCTTTTGAGTTATAGTTTGTGCCGAAGATGATTGATTAGTGACAAGTTTATGTGTATTTTCTGTATACATCCACTGACTTGCACAATTGTCATAATGAATACCACGAAAGCTGTCAAATTTGTAAATTTAAAGGTTCATTTGACTCTTTATCTTATTAGTTAAAGAAAATGAAGGATCAAATTTGTGAAAATGAGTCCTTATGATGATTGGGACGAGTGGTAAATGACACAATAAAACAAATGTTATTTAAAATGAAGGGACTATCTATTTATCTATTTTAACCCATCAATCTTCTGCCTATGGCAATTGCACTGCGAACCTGCTTGCATTGTGGTGTTAGCATGAGATGGAATATGTTGCACCTCTTTAACATGACCATTTACTTTAACCGGCACTTTTACATTTTTCATTGAACTAATAAAAGAGTAGAAATAAAGCTGAATTGACATCTGCTACTGCTGTCACAAGTAATCTCGCAACATTCAACAAGTTTCTTATGAAATTGTGATTTGTTCCCCTATTGAACTACCAAATTTTCGCTGGCAACGTATAAACATTATATACAAGGGAGACATAACCAGAAATGTGGAGTTGATTGAAATAATTTTGAATATTGACTTTAATAAATTTTAATCAATCATGACTTATCAAATATACTAAAATCAATTATTGATGTATGCAAAAGTATCTCCTAGAAATATATGTACTTTTTAACATTACTCACACTTGCATATAATAGGTGTCTATGTAAACCGTTCCTACCTAAAGAAGTTCATTTTTCTTTTCTATTACTTTTGGGACAAGAAATATTTGTTTGCTAGGAAGCCTTTTTTATATAAAGAGGATAAACTAGATACCATTGAGTCCCCTGAACAACTTCAAATGTTAGAAAAATTAGAAATGCAACAATATAGAAGGGAAAGGGTGAGGGGTCATTGATGGCGGATGACGCATGTATCAACGGATAAGAGGTTGTTTTAGTTTAACTAATACTAATGGTGTTATTTTTGAACGCTGGGTACAAGATTACCTATAATCACTTTTTTTCATTGTATTAAATAAGTTAAATACTCATTTTTCTTTCTTTTTCTATTGGATCTCTTTAACTCCACATTTTCAGGAGATGTTGACACGTGTCCAACTCGTGGAACTAATTTTTTTACCTCTTTCTCCTTTCTCGCGCTTCCTTTCACATAGTGCAGTACCATTTCCTTTAACATCAACTTGTCCTCAAAGTTGAAATTTGAATAAATCGATTTGATATTCTTCATATCTTCCCAAGCCGCATCGTCTAATCCTTCTTCATTCCACGAATCAACGTCTGATGTAAATCCAACACTTTGAAAGGCTGTAACATAGGGCCTTCCTCAGTTGTACTCAAAGGAGAAAATATTGCTCAGTGAAATGTGCATGAAACTTCTTTTAACATTGAAATATGAAATACAGGATGTATTTTAATCGGCTCAGGTAAGCTTATGGAAAAAGATAAATTCATGATTCATTCTTACCAAACATCCATTCAATAACTTCATTTATTAATAAAATAATAATTTTAATATTAATAAATAAGGTTGTATAACAAATATTTTTATCCTTTTGTGGGGTCAAAATATTATGGGCCAAACAAATGCATGTCCAACTTTTGATTTCTCCTTAATGGCACATAGTGTTGTAACCAAAGCAAAATCTCCCACTGCTAACCGGAAATCTTTCCTCTTCTTATTTGCTTATAATTTCATATAATTATGAGTTTTGAGTAAATTCAACTTCAACTTGTGTAAAAGAATATTTATAACTCTTAAACTCTCCAGCAAACTTATCAGAACACTTGCATCTTGTTCTCAAAGAAGCATTGTAAGATGGTATCTGCCATTAAAAGGAAACATGCCTAAACTATAATGAAAGAAGTGTTATGCCAAAAATTGTGGCCAACGGAACATCACATCTTAGGATTATCAAATACACAACATAACATATGAATGTCAGATACATTTCCATATTTTTATTTAAATTATCTATTTAACCATCACTTTGAAGATAATAAACAAGGATAATAACCAAAACTTATAACTAATGATGTTTCTGAAACTTATTAGTTATTGTAAAAAAAAAGCTAATAAAAACTTGATCTTAAGTATGTCATGAATTTTTATCACATAATATATAAATACTTTTGTTATCACTTTAATATTAAATTCAGTCTTGAGAGTGGTGAAATAATCAAATTTAGACAATTTATCCACAACCATCAAAACAGTAGAGTAACCATGAGATTTAGACAATTTTATAATACAACATTCTTCCGTATCTGTTGAGGAATATCAAGAGGTTGAAGAATTTTTTGTTGCATTTTAGGCCAAACAAATGAAGAATAGATTCTAAAAATTATCTTAATCACACTAATATGTCCTCCTATTTTTAAAATATGAAACTCATTCATAAAATGAATTTTAACAAGTGTTACAAGTAAGACTTTTTAGAGCAACAACTTATCTTTCACCACATATGCCAGATTCTGATTAATGTCTTGTCATGACCTTATCATCGTTTTGGACGACTTCAAGTACTTTCTCTAACAAAATATTAATTCAGACCAAGTCATGAAGAAACTTCTAGACAATGCATCAATAGAGATATTTTCTCTTCCTAACTTGTATTATATAGAAAAATTATATAACCCAAAGACTTTGGCAAACACTCTTGTTATTTTATTCTGGAGTTTGTACATTTTTCTCAAGCAATGTCTTTAAAGTCCTTTGATTTGTCTTGATAATGAACGTGTGACCTCATAAATAGTGTCTAAATTTTACCAATAATTCGGTGGTAGCATGAAATTCCCTAACATAAGTTAATTGTTTTTGCATCCTAGGAGATGACTTCTTAAAAACTAAGCGAAAGAGTGTAATCCTTGACTCAACACAATGTCAATGCCTACCTTGGAAGCATAGATGTCCAAAATAAAAGGTTCTTAGACCATTTAAAAGAGTCTATCTTTAATAATTCAATTAAAGGATGCAATTATTATAACATAATTCTGCACAAATCTTCTACAAATAAGCGTGAGTCTCAAAAATCCTCGTAATTATTTAAGATTTTGGAGTTGTGGTCATTCGTTAACAACTACTAATATGTTAATCTCTTGTTATCTATTACTACTTCATTACTCAACAAAATATGACTCAAATATTCAATTTTCTTAACATATAAGGAACATTTAGAGAATTGAACATATAATAAATGCTACTAAAATATTTCCAAAACTATACACCAATATATCATAAAAAAAAAAAATTGACACCATTTCCGCAATATCCCTTTAAAAATTTCATTGATTAGATTCTGAAAAATAATGGGAACATTAGTTAACCCAAATGGCATGACTAGTAATTTTTAATGATCATGATGAGTTCTAGATATGTTTTATATGATGAGTTCTAAATGTGTTTTATAGCATGATCTAATGATAACTAGATTGTAAATTCAACCTTAGAAAAAATAAAATTGCATCATATAATTAATTAATTAACTCGTCTATTATGGATATTGAAAAAGTATTATTGATTATAATGACAGGAATAGTTCTATAATTTATGTAAACTCTTCAATATCATTTTTTTTTAAGAAATATAATTAGCGATGACAAATGATTTTTTCGTAGATTAAATTATACGTATTCTACTTATCAATTTTTCTCTATAATTTTAAGTAGATATATATATATATATATATATATATATATATATATAATTTTAGATTTATAAATTAAGATTAGTTTTATTTGCGTGAGTTCAAGATTTTATTTTTTAAAATAAGATCAAATTAACCTGTTAACATGATTTAAAAATGAAAAAATATATTTTTCATGATAAGTATAAAAAAACTGAAAAATTAAATTGAATATTCACTATAAAAATAAATTTAATTTTTCTAAGTAGTTAAAATCCAGTGGAATTATGACCCTCAAATTTAAAATAAAACTTCACTTAATTAAGGGTGAATTATAGTTATTAAAAAAAAAACTGAAGCAAGTTTTGGGCCGAAAGAATGGTAACTAAACCCAATGTAGCAATCTATATGGCCATGGTTCGGCCCAGGAAAGCGTGTTATGTTGTTGCTGTGTTAACAGGTTCGGTAATCCAACTCGTCACACGCATCATGCGCCTGTGAATAGATGAAATAGAAGAAAGTGAAGCTGAATAGGCGAGTGAATGATAGATAAGTGGGTATAATAATACATGGCCACTTTTGTTCCTTCTTCATCCATTTTACGACCAACGTTGATTCGGTGCACCAACGAGCGCCGGGCGCTGTTTAGCCGCATTGCTCCTGTCTATGATAACGTGCGCCACTCTTCCTTTATTCTTTTCTTCTGTTAGTTATTTGATAACTTACGCAGTTTCTGTGTATGTTTTTTGGACAGCTGAATGACTTGCTGAGCCTCGGGCAACACCGTGTTTGGAAGCGGATGGCTGTGTCGTGGACTGGGTATCCCTCTTTCTTCGCGACCGCATTTTCTTCAAAATATTGTAACCGTTCTATTTTCATTTCTTAATTGGGTGTTTGTGTGAATTTGGGCACAGGGCGAAATCGGGAGACCGTGTGTTGGATGTGTGCTGCGGAAGTGGGGATTTGTCATTTCTCTTGTCCGACAAAGTAGGCTGCGATGGCAAGGTGTTTGATTTGAGTTTCCCATGAATAACGTAACTTTGGACGATTTCTCCCTATAACTTCTAAAAGCATTAAAGATAAAATACGAAGAAAACAATAAAATTAAAATTTTCCGGAGATTAAAATTAACTGTATGATTAAAATTTAGAGAAACTATAAAAAGAAATATTTGTGTATAATTTAATTTTTGAGAATATTATTTCTATTATTTTTTTTCTTCTAGAAGTTATTATTCAAAAACTAGTCCATACGTACCCAAAATGAACATGTCTCTCAACTTTCCATTTTGTGAATTTTTTTTTATATGTTTTCAACGTGGGATTTTTGTTTGTTAGTCAAGTCAGTCAACTTAAATTTGAACAAATTCCAAGTTTTCATGGATACAGTGTAATCAAGCATTAATTTTATTATGAATGTACTTTAAATGAGAGAAGAGGGATTTTACAGTTTCTTCTAATTGTTTACTTTCATCTAATTATATTTTGGTTATATTATATATTATCGTGTATGATCAATTTATTGATTTTTATAATATCTATATTAAAAATTGTCCATATATATCTAGCATGATTTCTCATTGGCTAACAGGACATTGGACAAAAATTAAATTCATGTAATATTATTATTATTATGCCTAAAGGCTTTTTTAATTAATCCAAAATTATTCAAAGTCTTGCTTTTTACGATTTAAGGTTATTATATGAACTTACTATACATGACAATATATGATTGAACGACACTTTAAAAAACATATATGTATAAGTGTATTTTAATTAATTATTCTTTTTACAATCATAGCATTTAAATTTCTTATTGTTTGAGCATTAGAGTTTTGTCGTGAAATTATGGTACAACGAATGTTTTGTGGTACAGGTGATTGGTCTTGATTTCTCAAAGGATCAGCTATCGGTAACTTCATCCCGGCAGCAGTTGCTTTCAAAGAAGTGCTTCACGAATATTGAGTGAGCATGGGTAAATTTTGCAGTATGCAGACATTAATTATAACCTTTTATATATATATATATATATATATATATATATATATTTTAACTTTTTTGTCCCGATTTGATCTTTAAAAAAAATTGTGGTCTAGTATGCTATTAGCAGTAATTTGTTGCAACGTTGGTGGGTTGAAGGTGATGCTCTTGACTTGCCATTTTTGGATGGTTGGTTTGATGCTATCACTATGGGCTAGGGTCTTCGAAAGGTGATTGATAAGCATACGGCCATGCAGGAAATTTTCCGTGCTCTAAAAGCTGGTAGGTTTTGTATCTCAATCCATTGACGTGATAATTGATGTTTATATGAAATGTGACACATTCCATGGTTTATTTTGCTTCCCAGGCTCTACTGTTTCTATCCTGGACTTTAATAAAAGCAACGAGTCACTGACTTCTGCAATTACGGTATATCTCAGCCTTACTAGTTGCTTTAATGAATCCTAATGATAATTGGCGCGGCAATGCTCCTTCATTCTGAACAAGCATAGTCACCCTTCCGTGGCCGATCTTGAACATTGATTTTGGAGGGTCAAATAATATATTATTAATAAATAATAAACAAATATAAATGAGTGAAAGAAGATGAAAATGTGAGAAGATAAAATTATAAATATATACGTAAATATATAAAATGATGATGAAGATTAGGACAACAAAATAATAAATTATATGAGAGTTACAAAAATAAGGAGAGTATGAGAGGATAAAATTGTAAATATACAAGTAAATATATTAAAGTTTAGGGAACAAAATTTTAGGGGTCACAACCTCCCTCAGTTCCCAAGAAGATTCGTCATTGCATCTTATCTTCTCAGTAAATTAGAAGGTTTGGCTTATGGTTAAACATCTATTTATTCTTTTCAGCAATGCTTTTGAGTGAGTTCATCGGTTTGACAGGACTGATGAAAATCATGTTTGGCTCTGCTAAGTTTAGAGAAAAATTTACAGTCCACTTGTATAAACGAATATTATCATATCTTACTATTTCTATAGCTTTTCATTTATTTGCTGTTGTCATTTTTTATTTTGTGGATGTATTGAAGGTAACCCCCAAGTACTTTCTTATGCTAGGAATGGATGATTGACAATGTTGTTTTCCTGTTGCCTCTGGCTATGGTCTTTCAGAGGAATACAGATACCTCAAAAGTTCAATAAGAGAATTTTTAACATTTAACTCTGCTGAGCCATCGCCTAGCATTTTATTATTTTTATTTGCAGAGTTAAATGTTCCAAGGAAGTGCTTCAGTCACATTTTCATATTTCTTCTTCATATGATCTTTTCACAAAGGTTGGCTTCTGTCATGATGGTATATTATATAAACTTATGTTTCAGTAAATTATCAAAATAATAAAAGCTTACAATCTTTGCTTTATTCTTTTTCTCATTGAAGACTATTCTTTCGCAAATGAAATAAATAACAATTATATCCAAAAGTAGTAGCATTTATGAGCTGTAACATGAATTAAATTGATCTATAATTGTATAATAATGTTAATATGGAACTATACAGTATACGTTGTTTGCTTCCCTTGGCTTCTTGTCTGAAGTATGCATTTTAAATAGCAAAACATTGGATGCTTTGTTAGCAACCTTAGAGTCATAGGTCTGAGGCAGAACAAGTCATTTGCCAAACACAAGCTGTGCTGCATACATGCCGTGTATAGGGATTTTCTCTGCATTCTCATGGTCACCTGGGATAAAAAGAGCTATGGGACATAGTAGCAATTGAATCAGATGCATTAAGTGGATAAAATGGGTCACCACTTGTGTCATGAAGTTCCATGGTATTCTCATCTAGGAAGGGTGGATTAGAGGGAGCAATAAGAGTCTCCTCCTTCTTTGTTAGCATCTGTAATGTCTTCGACATGATTGGTCGTAAAGAAGGGACCTCTTGGGTGCATAGAAGTCCTATGTTAACCACTCTCAAAATCTCATCCTTAACGTTGCTGTTGTGGTCTTCCTGTAACTCCAGATTTGGATCAAATAATTGTTCAGCAGTCCCTGCCTGAAAATGTTTCCATACCTGATTTCGCCAGAATATATTGGACATGAAGAACAAAATTGTTTCATCAGTAATTTATTTTCTTAATTACAATCAATGTACAGTGGAGCAACAATCAGAAAAAACAGCCTTGGAGTCTGCTACTGACCACTGTAACTAAGCTGTCTGAATAATCTAATGCTTTGCTCCTGTTGTTCTGTCTACCGGTGACCATCTCTAGCAGCAATACTCCAAAACTATATACGTCTGCCTTTTCTGTTAATTGACCATGAGCTAGGTACTCAGGAGCCATATACCCCCTGCAGGCCCAAGAGCAAATGATTATCTCAGTTATAATACGCTGCTGTTTCCTGCAATAGCACCTGGCTCTTTGCCTCGTACTATTATTTGTTCAAAAATGCAATGATTGATGAAAAGATACTTACAATGTTCCTGCAATAGCTGTACTTATGTGGCTCTTGTCCTCTTGAAAGGACCTGGCCAAACCAAAATCTGCAATTTTAGCACGAAGCTTTGCATCCAATAGGATGTTGCTGGCTTTTATATCTCTGTGAATTATCCTTGTTTTAGAGTTCTCGTGCAGATAAACTAGTCCTTCGGTTGTCCCGATGATAATTTCAAATCTCTTTTCCCAGTTCAATTCTTTGCCCTTGTTTTTATCTGTCATGTATAAATTGAGAAACATTATGTTTAGTTCACATTATGATAAATGTATAATCACTTTGTGATCAAAATGAGGTGTCATTGGTGAAAAGAGTAGTCAAGCCTATTGCACGAGTTCAGTATTTACCAAAAATGAAGCGATCAAGACTTTTATTGGGCAGAAATTCATATACCAGCAGACTTTCAGGTCCTGAACAACTGCATCCCAACAGTCTGACCAGATTCTTGTGCTCCACACTACTAATTATGTTGACTTCGTTGTAGAAATCTGCTGCTCTATGTCTGTTGTTGAAATATAACCTCTTGATAGCAATCTCTCTTCCATCAGCTAGAACTCCCTGCAATAGCAAATTGTAAGAGTGCTTTGATTTGTACAATAATGGAGATATATGTCTTCGGAGAGAACTACTTTATAAACTGTTCCAAATCCTCCTTGCCCTAACTTGTTATTTTCATGAAAAGATCCAGTGGCCTTGTCCAATGTAGAGTACTTGAAGTTCAAGCTATTGTTTTGAAGTGATTTTGCTAACTTTTCTGCATCATTTGAACCTGGAAACCAGAATGAACATTGAGATCGGTATTTAAGTACAGCGGTATCTCGTGATGATTCCTCAATTTGTAGACAAGGTGAAGAATCAATTCAAAGATAAAAGAATTCATAAATAGTATTTACGATTAAGAGGACAAGGACTATCATATAAATACGCTGCAGAAACAACCAATAATTGGTGGTGTATGTGGGAAGATAGTTAGTTGTTTCTAACCAAGGTTTAAGGTTTGAATTTTTTAAATGAAGAAAATAAGCACTGAGAAAACCTTATATCAAGTGTGTTCAGTTAGCTCAACTGCAATTGGTTTGGCTCTAAACGGCTTTTTAATCAAACCAAAAAATTACAGGTATATACCATATTGGGGGAATGGAAATGATAATAAAATATTTTTAGGTTTCTCATTCTGAAGCTAATAGTATATGGTTAGAGTAAAGATATATAAATTATCATTTTTTAATAAATATCCATTCAACCATTTTAAAAAAAATTATATTATTATTTATCTATCTTATTTTGTCAAGATTATTTATTGGATGTTTAAAAAATTTTGGTTGTCAAAGAAATTTTTATAGTCATCAAATGAGACAATTACCTCTTCGTTTCTTCTGAATGTATCTTTGTTTCCATATATAAACTCCAATAGTTACCCCAACCACCAAAACAATCACCGAACTAATTACTGCAACCACTATTACTACCACATTACCTGCACAAGCCATCAAAATGAACCACACTCAAGATTCTCCACTAATCTAAATTATTTTCAAATCAGGATTCTGCATCCTAGCACAACTTGATACTCAATTATGAAGTGTGAAGAAAACTACAGTTTATTTACCTCTTGAACTCCCATTTTCCTGCTCCTTGTTAAGAAAATTTGTGTCTGAGTACCTCATGAAGCAGCCGGTGTTGAGGGCTCGCCCTTCGGACCAGGGTAAGCATCCCAAAATGGAAGAAGATGCATTCTCAAGACATGCTTTGCAAGACCTTTCGTCCAAAGTCCTCCAACAATCAGCCAGAACATAGACATATTGGTCAGTTGCTCCTGCCACAGCTACATTCCCACTTGTATATCCTTTGTTGTTGTGTGCATCTTGAACTGCTCTTAAAACGGCTTGCTTTGCTGCTGCTTGAAAACTTGAAGTCTTCTTGGTTGTATTCCCACATACAGCTTTGTCTCCTGGTCCTGTATACTCATTAAAGAAACTATAATTCTCAGCCCTCATGAAGCAACCATCAAGGAAAATGCGACCAGAATTATAAGGGTAGCACTGGGGAAGAACCGTGCGTGCTTCAGCATAGCACAATACACAGTCAAGCAATGAAAGATCTCCATAACACTGGGCCAGGCCATAGTTAGTATCAGGTCCTGTCCCTACAACTGCTGTGCCAAAGCCAGTTTTGCGCATCTTATCACTGATCTTCTCCATAGTTGCAACAAAGTTCGGAACAAAGATAGTAGTATTGTGCTCTGGTTCATGGCCACATGTTACCAGGATTGTCTTGGCCCTTGGTTCTGCTATTACAATCTTTGATAGTAGTAGTAAATCGATGAGAAGGGCAAGGTTGCATAAAGTGATGAGAAAGACTATTTTCCTCATTTTTAGTACGATCCGATCAAAATCACTTTCTCTGGTGGGCTATTCACAAGAAACTGTGGAAAAAAAGAAGGAAGGGTTAGAATCTTTGGGTGGCTATGTCTGCTAAAAAAAGTCATTCCATGTTCCAATTTTATGATTTTTGTTAGTGAATCAGAAGCACGTAAGAAGTTTATCTAATAGGTGCAACTGCTTGTTATGCTTAAGCTAAAATGTTTGCAACATGTTTCAACAACTATGGCACAAATTTCATGCCACATGATGTGAGGTTGAATTCCAAAACTAATATGTTCCTGACAAGAAAGACAAGATGAAGAAAAGAAGGGGCTTTGGAAGAAAAACATTCTAAAGTAAAGCAACCTCTGACATGTGATCGGAAGAGGGTAGAATCTGAAGTGGGTGCATACCTCTTTTATGCCATCCTTGAAGTCCAAACTGCTGCTTGCAATCATTTTTAGAAAGGAAGATTTTGGTTCTTTTCCGTTGTTCATTATATAGCAGTAAAAAAAATCTATAGTTTTAAACTTGCTCACACTTACATGACGTATGAATGATGCTGATAAATATTAAGTATCGGACCAACTGTTTGAAAAATGAGGTGCAGAATAGAAGCCACTCCACCCCAGACCCCACTTTGATATTAATAATAATTTCTTATCCATCCTCATCAGTGATGTTTACATACGCTGTTAATTGTGCATCAATTAGTGTTATTTTGCTTAAAAATAAGTAAGATATCAGTGAATTACCTTAGTAACACTGTTAACCACCATTTTATCATTATCACCCAAGGTTGTGAGAGAAATAGAGTTTATTTGATTTCTATTTTTAAAAACCTTTTTAATTAACTTATAAAATGTAACTAAATTAAATTAAATTGTTAAGTTAAGACAGTTGGTGGAGGTGGTGTGAGACACAAAGTAGAGTATTAAAGGAGGTGAAATTAGGAAAAGAAGATGAGGAAACAATTTGTTTAGCAAATAATTTTTTAAAATTTAATAGATTTGAAGGAGAATTGATTACTGAATTGCGTAATATTGATTAATGGTTAGAAAAAAAAGTGAGTTTTAAAATGAAATTCTCCAAGTTTCTTCATAATAATTAAAAAAATGTAAATTAATTCAAAAGTCATTATTATATTTAAAACTCATAATCAATATATTCTTAACCAGGATATCTTAATTTGACTTAGAACTTGTAAATGAAGAAAATATGAATTAAGAATGGTTAGATAGAGTTTACTACGAGTAGAAAATTGGATGAACACTTTCTTTTATATGGTTTCCAGAACTTTGAGAAACAGAAAAAAGTGCAGCTCTGTGATTTGGCGTTCGATTTTGTTTACTGATGAAAACAAAAGCTTCTCTAAAGAGAAAAAGTGGGTATTGGAATAAAATCCTTCCCCCACAACAAAACCTACCCCATTTATTATCACAGAGAACGGACCCCACACGTGCCAACAACCACCCATGCCATCCCACACGAACCAAACCAATGATCAACTACACGGTTTGAAGAAACCAAAACAAAAGAAAAGAAGAGTGAACCAAAAAATAACTCTGTGGTGCATGTCGTTTAATTTTTTTTACAATACCTCGAAGCAGGTGTTGTTAGACATAAAAATACGAAAGGTGGGAAGAGAATTTTGGAGGAAATTGTTACTTACCTATGATTTGCTCTGCACAGAGGAAGAAGAAGAAGCATTTGGAAAGGGGAAGTGAATTGAAGTTGGTGGTGTGAGAGAATGGGAAGATTTAATGGAGAGTGAAGTCAATGAAGGTTGAGACAAAAACTGAGGAATGTGGTGTGAGAGTTAAAACTTTGAAAATTGGAAGTGTTTTGGTATGCAGAGAGAGAGAGAGAGAGAGAGAGAGAGAGAGAAATTGAATGGGTTGAAAAACAGAGTATGACAGCGATAAGAGTAGTGTATGCATGAGAGAGTGTAATGCAGTGTAGCTACGAGGTAACATCGTACCTTTGAATCGTTCTACATTTTCGAGTACGTCAATATAATCTGAATTTACCGTCTTGCCCTGCGTCTTTAATTTTCAATTGCTCCGTATTCGTAATTTGTAGTACGATTAAGGATAAGTTCTATTTTTAAATCCTTTAACTTTTTTTTTATGTTTTAAAAATTGCATTTAAAATTAGTGAAAACTAAAATTTTATGAATAGTTTTAAGAAAAACAATAAAATGCTAGATTCTGCAGATTTTTAGAATTTTCCAACCGTCACATAAGGTGAAGTTCGCTTCCTTGTTAATCGAACCAAATCTTTTTAGATGTTTACACTTTGTGACGTGTTCAAAAGTCAATGTACCAAGATAGCAAGGAAATTTTTTCTTTTGTTTAGTGAAAGTATTAAAATAAATATTAATTTCTTCTAAACGAATAAAGTTGAATCCTATTAATTATTTTTTATTTGTATAAATACTCACTAATCATGTTGAAATGTGTTAGTAACTTGTGATTAAATCAAATTGTACGAGAGAGAGAAAAAAATCTTAACCCTAAACCCAAGGACTTTTGCGTTTAGTTCATGCGTTTCAAGTGACGTTTCTCTTTTGTTAATTTGTCGGGTACGGTTTAATTGACCGTGGAAGTGGAAAACCAAAGCGTCCTAAAATTTAAATGCCCTTTTTATTAGATAGTTGGTTCGGTACATAACACAATAAAAATATATTAAAACTTATATTTCAACTAGAATACACAAAAATTATGTGTAAATATCTAGTTTAACAATAGTTTATAAATAAACAGAAACATGGAAGAGATAAAAGGGGAAAGCAAATCCCTATTGACCCAATTAGGTCATCTAACAAATATGATATGAACACTAATTTAGAATCTTATATCACCCATTTTGATATTCAGTTATAAACTATTTTTCCTTGGACTCTTAATTGATGTAAGATATTTTGGGCATCCAAATGACAAAACCAACAATAACAATCATCTATTAGAAACCAATGATTGAAATTTAATCAACTGCATTATTTTTATTCATGAGCACACTCTTGATCACTTTATCAAACTGCAGTGGATTGTGCATCAAAGCACTTTTAAAAGTATTATCTAACATTTTTCTTTTTCTTAATCCACAGATTCGTACAAAAATGAAATGCTTCAATAATAATAGTACCTTACATGAATCACCTCGTTAACTGATTTATGTAATATATACATACGTTTTGAGCCAAAGCAGTATATGGAAAACATGAATCACCTTCCCATTTAATATGTACAAGGAATGCTCGTAACCAAAAAACTGTTATATCTTTTTTTGAAAATTTATATTGTAACCCATTTATGCTGAATCAGGCCTTCTGTCATGCTTTCCTCTGAAGATTGAGGGTAGGATCTAGGCTGAAAACTGTCTTCCGGTAAAATAGATTTGCTGAATTCTGCACTACTGCAATTAAGAAAGGGGGGTTGTGTTGGCTGAGTAATTTCATGATTGTTTTTAATCATTTTCACAACTACTGACATTGGTGGTCTAAGTTCTGCAGATGCTTGTGCACAGAGCAACCCTATCTTAAGGAGTTTGCATGCTTCCTCCGCCGGATAATTTCCCTCTAGGATTGGATCAACAATGTCACATAGTTTGTTTGATCCATAAAGGCTCCAAACCTTGTACAAAAGGACAAAAGAAAAGTCTCAAAAATGAGAACCCTTGTTTGTTGATAAAAGCATGAAATGAATTATAGCACTATGCAATAACAGCAAAAACCTTATTTTACCAAGTGCGGTCAACCACATTAATTAATATGAAATTAGTAGAAGTATGACAAATGATAATAACAAGTGTTACCGTGTGTAGGATAGAATATGAATTTTGAATGAAGGATTTGCTCCTTTTGCCAGATATAATTTCCATCAGTAGAACTCCAAAACTGTAGACATCTGCCTTCTCAGTTAGCTTCCCTAGAACTACATATTCTGGAGCCATATAACCCCTGAATATAAAGGAAACTGTAAGAGAATAGTGTATGGATTATGTGATGCAAATATAGAAGCCAGAATTCGAAAAATGGGTTAACTTTTGAGCTTCTTTCAAGATACCAAAGTGCTTATCAATCATAGAAGGGCATCATTAGGTAACTTTCAGAACTCTATTTGCCTTCGGTTATTTACTATTAACTCATTACAGGCAAGATTTTTATAACTCATAACTCTGCATTTTTATGAGGATTCCTTTGTTTATAAAACAAGATATTTTCTTCCCCTATGCTTAATCTTCTCCATGAATTCATACTATGTTTCCATGCATTATATTACAGAGGGTAATGAACTTACAGTGTGCCACAAATGGCTGTGCTAAGGTGAGACTTGTCTTCTGGAAATAATCTGGCAAGTCCAAAATCAGCAATCTTGGGTGTGAAGTTATCATCAATGAGAATGTTCCCTAATTTTATATCTCTATGAATGATTCTCTGTGATTCCTCATGAAGATAGGCCAAGCCCTCTGCGGTTCCCAATATGATTTTGTGCCTGACTTCCCATGTCAACTGCTGAGAATTCCTTCTACCTGGACCAGGTTAAAGCAAACATTAGTGATTAACTTAAGTCAAAAGAAAATGTATTAAGACCAGATAAAAATTGTTAAATTGCTACCAGATAGGTGATCATAGAGGCTATGATTAGGCACAAATTCATAAACAAGGAGGCTTTCAGGTCCTGTAATGCTGCACCCCAAAAGCTTCACTAGATTTTTGTGATGAATGCCACTGATCAAATTGACCTCATTGAAAAAATGATCTGCCCATTGTGATGTGTTAAAAGTAAGTCTTTTTACAGCCACGGTAGTTCCATCTGGCAGAGCTCCCTATATTAATATTGTAGCACACAGTTAGCTCATTTAAAGGAACATTTTCGGTTGTAAAAAAGATAGGGATAGATGTTACCTTATAAACTGATCCTGATCCCCCTTCTCCTAGCTTATTGGAATCACTGAAGTAATCTGTGGCTTTTTCAAGAAGTTCATACGGCATATTTAGTTTGGAATTGATTACTGTGTTCAAAAGTACACCAACTTGTCTTCTTTCTGAGTAAAAAACAACACAAAATTTCAGTAAATGAAGTTTAAACAATCTACAATATTCCAAAATCTTACACATAAATACCTCTCCTCCGCTTTAGTAAATTTGTCCACACAAGGAAAATCACAGTTGCAACAATCAGCAGAAGAGCCAAGGAAGCAGATGACGCTGCCACAATTATAGCAATTTTTTTGTCCCCTAACACACAGTAACACAGGACTTTATTTGTATGGTTTCTAAGAATACAGAACAAGTCATGAAGATCTTTGGTTTCTATTGCTAAGAATTGAAAATATTAAAAAAAGAAGAAGATAAAATGTGCGCTTTGAAATTTACTTAAAACACCAAAACCATCTCCTAAACGCAGAGTTATTGAGTGCAAGATTAACTACTATGAAGTAGTTCCAGTTTAATTAGTAATTTTGAGTTCAGGAAGTATTCAAGTGGAAAATTTTTCTGTCTTTAGTTGTCTTTTCCTACTTAAACAGGATTGCCTCCATTTTAATATCAATGACTCGTTAAAAAAGAAGATCTACTAAAACAAAGAAAAGTGAAATCTCCAAACATAGGCACCAGCTCACCTTGATGTTCTTGAGGGGCTGTGTTGTTTGAACTATTATAGAAATTGTGTGTGGAATACCTCAAGTAACACCCTGCATTTAATGCCTTCCCTTCTTGTTTTGGAGCACATGAATCAATCCTAGTGATAGCTTCAGCCAAGCAATTCTGACAGGAACTGCCATTCACAAACTTCCAGCATTGAGCCAACCCATAAATAGTCACATTACTTCTTCTCACAAACCCCACAGAGAACCCTTCATTCTTTGGTGCTTGAATGCTCAAATTTCTCACGAACTCCACGGTATTGGCCTTAAACACACTCCAATTCCCACTAAAATCTTCGGTTCCACAAACAGTCCTGTCCCTGGGACTGAGACTCTCATTGAAGAAGTTATAGCCATCATACCTAAGATAGCACCCATCAAAGAAAAACATGCCCCCTTTAGTGCCTCTCTGAAACGGAGAACACCTATGGACTTGTGTCTTGCACTGTGCAAAGCAGACGTCACAATCTGGTTTGGAAAGATCTTTCATGCACTCACCAAAAGCATAGACAGATTCATTTTGAGTAGTCCCTTTAACAACTAGTGCATATCTTTGGCTTGTAATCAAATCGGTTAAGGATTCTATGGCATCATAGAAATTTGTCAAGAAAGCTTGTCGTTGAAGCAGTGGTGCTGTTGTGTTGGTGCACATCACTGCGACCTCTGTGGCTCTTGGATCAGCTAGAGCAGGAAGAGCACAATAAAAAATGAAGATAAGCAGAAATGATGCAAGGGACATTGTAGTGATCAGATGAAGCAATAGATTGTTTCTGTTGGTGCAGGCGATGGGGTTGGAATGGAAGAAAATGTGTGCAAGACAGAAAGTGTGGACAAGAAATGAAGGAAAGTAAGTGTGTTGAAAAAGGGAGAAACCGTGTTGTGAGCAACATAGGTCAATAGTTGAGGCTAACTACGGGTATTATGTTCTATTCTAACTACTAATAATAGAATCTGTAATAGTGTTGTTCCTTCTTTCATATATTTGTTTTTTTGAACTTTCCTGTTTACAAAAACATTTTAGAATTTGTCTTGGAAGAAATAGAAAAAATAGGTCGATTCATGCACTTTTCGTATTCACGTCAGAATTTGACATTAAAGTTTTGTGTGGGGTATTCGGTTCTCCGAATGCAACACGCACTCATCATGTCTAGCAAGAAACCGAGCTAATAATGGATGGAAAGGAAAGAGAGTTTTTTCATATCCTATTTTCAATAAACAACTATTCTATCTCATTTTATAATAATAATAATAATAATAATAACAAAATTTAAATCAATGTTTTTAAAATTAGACGAGACAACAAATTTAGAAATAAAAATTCTTACATTTTTTATAAAAAATAGTATCTGTTAAAAAGATTATCTTTAAATTCTTTTTTATTAAAACTGATTCAATATAAAAACTTAATTGATTTTAATTATTTTATAATAATTTTTTTACTTTTATGTTAATTTAGTTAAAATATAATATTTTAAAAATAATATATCAATTTTCATATCGATTTCCAGTTGAATTGATTAAATTGATGGATATAATTTGGTTTTGATTATGATTGATATTATTATTATTATTATTAAATTAAATCATAGAATGTTAGTAATTATAAACGAAGTTATCAATTAATTAATTTTCATTGTAAAAGGACACCTTCCAAAAATTTATATTTCAATTTAGTAGTAGAGCTAATAGCACGTAATGGATAAATTTTTAATCTCTGTTAAAAATAATTGCTTTACTAGCTTGACTTATTTTTAGTATGTTTAATTAATATTTTTTATTTACAAAATTCACATCTAAAACTTTACTCAATGATGTCCACCTATTAGCATGTAACTATTAGATTAAAAAATACAAAACAAAATTTGTGAAATTATTTATAAAATACATGGTTATATATATAGTCTACTCAATCAATCCCATTAGAATTTTTGTAGGTATTTATTACTGATAATATATCTAGTTCTTAATAATGTTAATACATTATTTTTAATATTAAGATGTTTTTTTCAAAAAAAAAAATTAGAATAAAATAAATATACTATTGAGTTTATCTACATTTTGACCTTATGAAGATGGTTACGAAAGATCACAATAACATATTCATTCCCCTTTTATTTTATTTCATTAAAACAGATACGTATTTAAAAAAAATATTTTTCGTTTATTTGTTGATATTTTAATTTTATATAATTAAAAAAATAGAGGATTGGATAGGAGTGGTGCGAAAAAGAAGCATCCACAAAATTAGATTCAAAAGGGTGATATTTAGCAAAACTGAGTTAGTTGGAGCTGTTGGACCTTTAGCTTAGACCTTCATCTTCTCTGTTGCATCTGCACTTTTGTTAGGTATACATGCTCGCAACTTTTGACAGCTTCAATTTGACAAAATTATCTTTTTAGTTCTTGAAAAAATCTACAAAATTAGTTCTAAAAAACAATTAATTATTTTAATCCATAACAAATGACAAAAAATGGTATTCCCACCCATCAAATCAATTTCATTTATTGGGCATGTTCATACACTCCATTATTTACACAACTAACTCTATTATCAAAGAAGAAAACCCTATGTAGCCATAAATCTTAAATTGCGAAAATAAGAAATAAGATGGATCTTCAGTCATTATTACTGTGAAACCAAAATATGTTATATGGTTTCAAATTTTTACTTTCTCCCATTTTGATGGTGTAGTATATATATATATGATAGAAAAGAGTATATTTTATGATCCAAAATACAAAATATCAATAATATTTATAAATTTCTATGAGTAGATTTATAACTTCTTAATAATTTATAACTTATATGAGTATTTATAATTTTGGTTTCCTAAATTTAATTATTATTAAATATATTTTCTTATATATTTATCTGCTTCTCATAATTTTTTTCATATTTATTATTTATTAATGATATATTATTTAATCACATAATTAATAATAAAAATAAATGACAAAATAATTTCACATAACTACCTTGAAAAATATTTTCATAATATAAATTTAATTAGTAGTTACTATATTACCTGCTACTTTAATGAATAAGTTATTATACTATATCCTTAAAAATAGAAATCATGAGTAGAATAATCTCTTTTATTTCATCAATATTAAGAAACTAAATATACACACAAATCTCATGCAAAAATATGTTTTATTAAAAAATTGAACAGAATAGAAAGAGAATAAAGCTGATTTTGAATGTAACTCTTAAAGTGTATGACTTTAATTATATAAAGAACATAACATAATTAAGGAACATGCAGTAGAAGAGTGGCCCCACCCGCGTGCTAGAACAAGACAAAAACAACTAGTAGGTAGGCACTCTTCGCAGCCCATAAAACCAATTATGTCTCCATTTTAGGCTCACTCTACATTTTCATTCAGCTACAAACAGGTTTGTAATCCTCCAAATATACCTGTAAACCACCTTCTCATTCTATATATAATACCATAAAGCCACCATTCAAAATTAACTAAACCAGTATTTGGGTTGGAACTTGGGAGGGTCCACCTTCTTTCTACACTGCCTCTGCAATTTTCTTATCCAGAAAGCAACCCTCGTAACACTTTCAATTCAGTGAAAAATATTCAATACTTTTAGCTATTCATATACAATAATACTTTTCTATGTTGTTGATGATCAAATTAATTAGTGGTGAGTGCTTTAATGGTCCACTCTTATTTATCTGCAACATAGAAATATAACCTGTTACACAATGAAAGGAAGAGTACTTGTAACAAGCAAGCATTAATGCTTGGGATAAGATTAGGGTTTGTTTTAGTAGGGTAGTGACCTGGTGATCCATTTCTGCTATATAATTGGGTAAGTTTTCCTTATTTTAATTATTGCCATTACAACCAATTATTCAAATGATTACATTATCCTCATCAACCTTATAATTATGGTGTAATTAATGGTGGGATATATTAAGAATGAAAAGTTTTTTTTTTTTTCGCCCCTCGAGCAGGACTGTACTACTATATATATTAGGAAATTGCAACAAAAATTATTATGCTACCAATAATATCATAAAATGGTAAGCATAAAAATATTTGTATTATTCACATTCTTGTCATTAGAGTTAGTGATGACTTTCACTAGTGAGATTCAAACCCAAGATCTTAGAGTTAGAGGTTGATACTCCAACCACTAAACTACCGGAACTTTTTAATAATAATTTACAAATAAATTATATTTATATATTTATATATTTATATATTCATATATTCATATATTCATATATTTATATAAATATATATTTATATTTTATATATTTATATATATTTATATTTTATATATTTATATTTTATATATTTATATATTTTTATATATATTTATATATTTATATATAATTAAATATTTTTATATATTTTTATATATTTATATATAATTAAATATTTATTTTTTAAAATTATTTAATTTAAGAAATTATTATAAATTAATCTAATTATGATTAAATTAAATTATTAAATAAAAAATATTTATTTTTTAAAATTATTTAATTTAAGAAATTATTATAAATTAATCTAATTATGATTAAATTAAATTATTAAATAAAAAATATTTATTTTTTAAAATTATTTAATTTAAGAAATTATTATAAATTAATCTAATTATGATTAAATTAAATTATTAAATAAAAAATATTTACTTTTTTAATTAGTTGAATATTTACTAATTATTAATTTACCGACGAAAATATCCGTCAAGTAATTTACAGATGGATTTACCGACGAATATTATTCGTCGATAATTAATTATTAATTTATCGACGAATTTACCGATGGATATATCCATCGGTAACTAATTATTATTTTACCGACGGATATATCCGTCGGATCAAATTTCACAAATATTTTATATCCGTCGGTAATTTCGTTGGTAATAATTATTTTCCAACGATTACAAATCTGTTGGTAAATATCCGGTCGATAATACGCGATTTTCTTGTAATGTTTATTACAAATATCTTACTTACATAATATTATTTTGTTTTGAAAGAAATGTTTTGGTATTTTAATACCAAATTAACTTTAATATTATTAAAAATAAAAAAATATCAACCTTACAAAATATAAGAATTATATTTAATTATATTTTAAGAAATATTTTTTATTACAAATTAAAATGAGAATAAATTTTTTATCACATACTAAAAACAAGAAAAATAATATATAACTTCATTTTATAAAATAATTTTATAAGATCGTATTCATTTATATATTATCTTTACTAAATATTAGAATTAATCTGTTTCTATTTCACTGTTTTGTTTTTTTATAAACTATAAGTTATAATAATTTTTTTTTCATGATTCCATTCTCTTGATATGCAATAATAATATATTGATCTGTCAAGTAGCCAAGTGTTAAATTTGAGACCACTTCCAATAATTATTTTACCATGATATTGAATCTAAACCCACGTACTTCAATAATTCCACTCACTCCAACACATATTTATTGGCATTAATTTAGACCAGGTTTTGCTAAGTCAGAAAAATAATAGGAAATCTGAACATTTTCTTTTTTTATTAAAAATAGTTTACTGTATTAATAGCAATTAAACAATATAATTTTTAGTGAAAAATATATATTCTAATATGTATTACTATGAGAGTGATGCGGAAAAACCAAAACATTTTCGCATTAATGAGCATATAATTGGCATAAACTATCATAATAAAAGTTTTAAATTGTCAACTAATTAAAAAGTATTATTAATATCACTTTAAAATAACAAAAATAAACAATTATATCATTTTTATTATTAGATAATAATAAACAATATTTTTTTTATTACATTTTCATATATTAGTTTTTATTAGTAATCATTAAAATTGTAAGCACAATTTACAGGTCCATATTTTCTAGAGCCTCCTTCCCACTAATTAGGGGTAGTATGTGACCAAAAGAGAGGATACATCCAACGTCTAAGTCACTAAACTTTTGGGCTTTTATTCCTTTCCATTAACGCTATTTTTATTAACTATTTTATCACTAATTACTTGTGTTTTTAAACTATGATGCTTCTAAATATTATCAAATGATATACTCTTTTGTAATATAACTCTTTCCGATATATATTTAATTACCAGTAGAAATTAAAAATGAGATAAAATGGCGTTAACAAATTGGAAGGATAGGCCAAATTTCTTGACCTACATAAAGATGGCAAAGTCCTCTTGGCCATGCCTTTTGTCATCCCAATTTTCCACAGGCAACAAGAATATTCACTGCAGAGGGACAACCATGAAATTCTGTTCAGCACTTCTTTGAAAAAAGTATGATGAAAGAAAGCATAACAATAAACAAATTCGCATGACTTTTTTAAAGTACATGCTCATGTCATATTTATGGGAATCTTCATATTATATGACAAGGGTATTCACGTCTCTTTCAATTAATACACCTTATCTTAACCATTAGTGATTCAACAATCTTTTTAAAAGCTTACCCTAAAATATTATAATCAAACATACTATTTTTCTATCATATTCCACTATATATAAACCCTCTATGTAACTACCATATATCATCACTTCCCTGTATGAAGCGCATTACCACCTCAAGATCCTAGAATTCTTGTTGCTAGTGTTGTTGAATTTCTATCAGAAAGAAAACAAAAGAGCCGTGAAGGAATGAAGAGGAACAGAAGTTTTTCCTCGCTCTTTTTCCTGTCCTTGTTGGTGATTGTCTTTGTCACCCTCTCTACAGTTTCTGTGGAAGCAAGGAAGACCAACACCAGCAGAAAATTTCACAAACGTCACAATCATAAAGATAGTAGCAATGGCAACGGTCGAGGGTCACATTCTCCATATCCAGCACCAACCCCTCCCCATTATTATGGTCCTCAAGGGAGCCTGTTTGACGTTTTGTCTTTTGGTGCCAAGGGTAATGGAGTTTCTGATGATTCAGAGGTAAATAAATGAAGGAAGAGCATGTTAATGAAGAACAACATAAGTTTTAATTGCTAGAGTTATAACATTAATGAATGATGTTTATAAATCAGGCACTTGTAGCTGCATGGAAAGGTGCATGTAAAGTTGCTGGTGCTACAGTTAAAATTCCAGCACAACTCAAGTTCCTCATCAAACCTCTTACTTTACTAGGCCCTTGTATGCCTGACCTTAGTCTTCAGGTTTCACTTTTCTCTTCCCTTTTGTTTCCAAGTTAAGTTTTACTTGGATAAACATTTCTATAAATAGAAAAAAATAAAATAAAATGAACTCAGTTTCTCCTATAAATTATTTTATACACTTGATCTTGAAAGTTTTTTAACTTAACTTCTTCAAAAATTAATTTTATTAAGTTCATTTTATATGAGAAAAACTTAGTTTGTTTTGCCTTTTTATTCTCTTGCTTTAGAGTATATACAGAGAAATTTATCTAAGTAGTAGTATCAAAATAATGTTTTACAAGAGGCGTAGAATAATAATTATAATCTGTTTTGAGAACACATATAATACACAATATTTTATGAGGCATTTTGAAGGTTGTACGTTTAACTATAACAGATAGATGGAACTCTATTGGCACCTCCTGAAGCATCTTCCTGGCCAACATCCAGTTTGTTTCAGTGGATAAATTTCAAGTGGGTGCAGAACTTCACCATCAAAGGTTCTGGCACTGTTGATGGCCAAGGCTACAACTGGTGGAGCTCCTCAGAATTTTATGACATACAGGTAAAATTGCCAGAAAAACAAAATAAAGTCGAGCATATGTGACATAGTTAATAAAAATTTCACACACAAATAGCTCATTTTGTATTCATGATCATTGCTGGCAGAAGAAGAGCTACCCCAAAACAATTCCAAGCATGAAACCAACAGTAAGATCTCCCCTAAGATTCTAACATACGGAGTGTAATTTTGTTTACAGTTTCTCACAAGTCTTGTGTGGCATTTACATTATGCAGGCTATAAGATTTTACTCCAGCAATATTGTCACAGTTCGTGATATCAGAATCATAAACAGTCCTCTGTGCCATCTAAAATTTGACAACTCAAAGGGGATTGAAATTGACAACATTACAATATCCTCCCCAGAGAATAGCCCAAACACTGATGGCATTCACTTACAAAACACACAGGACGTGGAAATTCAACGTTCTATCATTGCAACAGGTAAGGGATTAAATGAATATATTTTAAATGACTGTACATTCCATTTCTACAAGCTGGCAAAGTAGATTCTTGTAAATTGTTAAATCATGGCCAGTATGGTGCATTGGCCACTTTACTACTTTGACAAATATGATTGGCTGAAACACCCTTTTCAAGTTAAAACGGTAAACTGTCACCACAACTAACTTTTGAAACGTGCAGCTTATAAATTATTTTTACAGCTGAAATAACTTTAACTTTTGTTACACTGTGCTGAGTAGGTACCCCACTGAATTCATAGGACCTATATTAAAATTTATATTTTCCATCAGAAGATTATAATACTCAGAGTTGGTCTTATTTTTTATATTATCAGGAGATGACTGTGTATCCATCCAAACCGGTTGCTCTAATATTCATGTCCACCACATTAATTGTGGCCCTGGACATGGTATAAGGTAAGAAAAAGATATGCACAACCTAACTAGTCCAAGTTGGCATCTTCCTAGTGATTTTGTTGGCAAAACCACTCTAGTAATTCTTTATACATTTAATTTTCTTTATACAGTTTGGGAGGATTAGGGAAAGACAAAAGTGCAGCATGTGTGTCTGACATCATTGTTGAGGATATCTCTATGAAAAACACCCTATATGGAGCAAGGATCAAAACATGGCAGGTATTAGTAACATAATTGTGCTAGTAAACCTGGTAATAACAAAGTCTGGTTATTGGCATTAATTTGAGTTTTTTCTTCTTCTTTTAATTAATATAGGGGGGCATTGGTATGGTTAAAAATGTGTCATTTTCCAGAATTCAAGTCTACGATGTCATGTTTCCAATAATGATAGACCAATACTATTGTGACAAGCAAATATGCAATAACCACACAAGCAGTGTGGTGATTTCTGGGGTCAAGTTTGATCAAATAAGTGGAACTTTTGGGATGCAGCCTGTCCATCTAGCTTGTAGCAATTTCATACCATGCACAGATGTTGATTTAACTGACATTCAACTGAGTCCCTCCCCTAAATATAAAGGTTTGCAACAAGCTGTATGCTGGAACTCTTATGGAAAGTCACAAGGCCCCTTGCTACCTTCAAGCATTGATGATTGCTTGAGAAGTGGTGGTGGACTAATCAAGAGGATAGCAAGGTCACATGATAGAGTGTGTTACTAATTTCTGATGTGAGCCTTGTGATAGCTTCCCTTCTACAATTTTTTTTTAACTGTGGGAAGGTGATGATGGTGTAATTAATTAACTTCTTTTTTCCGTTGGAATTATGTACTGATAGACTTTGTTTGTTTATTAGTTCAGTGTTGAGTCAGAGCAAATATTTGGGCTTTAACTGATGACTGTTATGCTTGTCATTGTGGAAAAAAGATAGAAAGGTTTTTCCTTTAACGGTCAAATAATTGCTAAATGTAAGTTGTTAAAATGACACCGTCTTCACCCTAAAAATATTAAAATATTAGATTGGTGGATATGTATATATTAGTCAATTTCATCATTTTACTTAATATAAAAATTTTACTCATATTTAAATTCCAATAAAAAGAATTTAGTTTGTATGCACACTTAATATACTGTCAACCAATACTACAAATATAATTTTAAAAATAATTGTTACAAAATTTAATAATTTTATCATATTAATAAATTTGATTAGATAATTTAATATTTTTTACATTGAGTGAATTCTAATTAAACAAAATTGATTTAAGAAAATATCTAGTATGACACAAACTTTTTTGAAGGTTTTCAATTCACTTGTAGAATTGCCTAACATAATTAATTTTTTTAAGGTCAATCAATCTATTTTTGCGTTCAGATACTAATTTTTCTTATTCACTAATAAGGGAGTAATTAAATCTATGTTTTTACAATCATATGGTTTTCTTGTATGGTTATCGTATTAATTATATGTGCTATTTTCTTTATGGGCCATGACCATACCCGGTCTAACCTTTTGATATCTGGGCCATGTACAGATAGGCCGTGTTCGAATCTGCTAATTTGGAGTAAATGCTTATGCCTCGAATAATATGGGCCAAGGGTTGTGATATGGGCCAAGACCATATGGCTCTTTATAATGGGCCTCATTTCATATATTCTTCCGCTGCCTTCATACTCAGCTATTTCGATTTTTCTCCAAGGCCCAATAATACAGAGCAGTTCAAAAGTAATAATCCTTGAATGAGATGAAAGCATGAAAATCTTCTGATAAATCTTCCAACTCAGTTCATGCTATTTTAATTTAAAAAAAAAAATTTATACCTTATGATTTTAATCCCTTAAATTTAATAATAATTAAATATTTATAATTTTAATGTTTTACCTTTATATATATACTTAATATTTATTTATTATTTATTAATAATATATTATTTTCCTTCGACTTATTACCTAATAACCATAGTCCACCGTAACAACTTATTTGGTAAAGCATAATAAAATTTTGTTTGTAAAAATTTCTCATATATATTTTTAGAAAAATAAATACATTTTTTTATAAGTTAAAATTATCTTACCTATTGTAGAAACTTATTTTACTGCAACCAGACAAGTTTAAGCATAAAAATTCTCTTTATGTATAGTGATAGGACTGCGTGACTCTGTCATGAAACATAATTTGGCTATTTATTGTTTTTTACATTAGTGTCTTTACAGAATATTGCTTTACTTTTTTTTTAATTAAAAGTGAAAAATGTATCTATCCTAATAAGGGTATAAAGTACAGTAATTTTAATTCTTCCAAATCTGGTTTCCTGAAAATCAATTAGTGAATGTTTTCATGCACATAGGTTCAATATGCTTTGTGACTTCCCTGTTCATTAATTTCTTGTTCTTACATATTTCAAACCAGGCCTTTTTTTTTTCTATCTCCATCCTTTCTGAACACCTTTCTGCAAAGAGGTAGCAGTTCTGCATCTATGCACAGATGCAGCATGAATAAAGCACATGATTAATCATAATTATTCTTCACGTAACACCATCAATTTAAAGACCTTCCCTTGATTCAAGCAACATCATGATGATGTAGATGATGATGTAGTACAGTATTAATAGACAGGTTGGCCAAGACATGATGCTAGCATGCAAATGATGCAATGCATGAACCACAAGTTTTTAGGGAAAAAAATATATCAAAAATTTGCAGAAAAACATTCTTTCTAAACCACACCACGCTCCCAAATTATGGTTTTTATGGAAACGTTGTTTTATAGTACGTAATAACATGAGATGGTTATGTTCCTTTGTACACTTTAGGGTTTTCTCGTGTTTACATTTTGAACATGGAAAGTTGGTCATGCCCTTTAAGCTCTTCAGACAAAATCATTGCTTAACATCACTATTCCATGTTTAGGAAACCTTAATATATTTCTACTGGCCCCTTTCATGAAGCTTTTGGCTTTTAAATATTACACACATACACACACTTGGAGAGGATATGTTGTCGAGTTAACCTTATTTTAGAGGGAGAATTCATCATTTAAATCTAAGCACCTACCATTGTTTCTCATGATTCCATTCTCTTCTTTTTGTAGAATCACTTTACTAGTATCCCACTTTTTCAGTAAAAATAATTCTAAAGTATTAGATGCCTTAACTTGTTGCTATTTATTTCTCTGGATACGATAAGTACTGTTCTTATTTTAAGTTGTGAAGCTTCCTTTTTAGCTTAGAAAATGGGAGAAATGCCCTGAAATTTCTTACCATCATTGAATCACTTTGAATTAAAAAGTTAAGGAGCTGATTATAGTAATAATCTTCACAACCATGTAAAAGACTGAAGAAAATCTTTCATTGAAATCTATGAACCTTGTTTTAATATATTTAACTCCTAAACTATTATCTTAAAGCTTTTTTTAGTGGGATCACGTATAATTATGTTGAAGAACATAGAAGTATAATTAACTTTCTAACTTTTTTTATTAATTATCTTAAAAGTTATATCAAAATGTAAACTAATTTGACAGTGTAATATAGTTTAAAAATATCAAAACAAAATTATCATAAATAATTATATATATATATATATATATATATATATATATATATATATATATATATATATATATATATAAGCCATAACATTTTACATATAAATTCAAGGAATTACAATATAAGGGCTATTTCTTGAATATGTGAATCTCATAGCCAGGAACAAGAGCTAGTGATGAAAAATATTTATGTATGGGGGAAACTGAAAATCGGAAAAATAAAATTCATAAACAAATTTATCAGAATTCAACCAACCAGTGAAAATGATTGAATGCATCTCAACATCTCATGACTGTGTATAATTTTTGGGAGATTAAAAGAAAATAAAAATTAGAAAACAATCTATGAAAGAGATAAAAAAATTAAAAAATAAATATGTAATACCTATATTTATAAAACTAAATCAATCATAGAACCGATAAATATATGGATTAAGGTTGAATAGATTCAACCAAATCTAATAAAATAATATTTTCACACAATAAAATAAGTATATAATAAATTTATTAGCAACAATATTTTATAAAAAAGTTTACCATATATAAAGAAAAGTCTCACGTCAGTATATAAATGAGAAAGTTGTAACTTATAATTAAGAAAAACTCATAACCTAATACCTTAAGTTTTTGGATTGAAGGTGGTGTCATATTTTCTTATGTGGTTGACTCATGACCAATTTATGAGAATCTCCTTGCTATTAGTCCCATCGGAAAGACCCAACAATGTCAATGGTGTCAATGATTTATCTAATGACCGACTCAATTGAGTATGATTATAACACGTGAAATGTCCTTATGTCGAAAGTCTTCCTGTCAGACAAACGAGTCTACTCATGGCTAAGAAATATTTTCGCACTAGGAGGAGGTATACCAATGTAAAAAAGAATCATATTTGAGGAGAGGATGTTGAGAATTCAAGTGTGAACTTGAAGTCCCATATTGGGTAGAAATGAGAATGTTGTAACTTCTAAGTAAGAAAAACTTATAACCTAATATTTTAAGATTTTTGATTGAAGATGATGTCATATTCTTTTGTATGATTGACTCATGACCCATTTGAAAAAATCTATTTATTGTTAGTCCCCTTGAAATATATTAGAGAGTATAAGATGTGTACAATGATTAAACTAAAATTAAAATATGATAAATAACTATTATTTGAAGTTAAAATAATTAATATTTAATGAGATAAAAAAATAAAAAATAAAATAAAATAAAATATATTATATCATTTTATAAAAAAAATTATATTTAAAAAATATGATCTTAATTTATTATTATTATTAAAACCAATTCAACCAAAAAATTTAGTCTATTTTTTCCATTTTTCTCAAATTTATACCTATTTCATTCCAATTCAATTAAAATCCGATAATATAAAAAAACGGACCGATTTTAATTAAATCGGTTCAGTCTAATTTAAAAAAAATATTGTGTAATACAATTATATGAATATAATTATAATTCAAATATTTAAAACACATTGAATAAAGAAGCAAACCGCACCAAATAGTATGCATAATAGCTATTAAAAGTCCTCATTTAAGTTTACTTGTGTTATATAAATATATTAGACACTTTTATTAACAAATTATTAGATTGAAAGTTAAGGATGAGAAAAAAAATCATGATAATAATAAAATCTCATCTTATTTATTTTTTTTACTGTTTTTGAAGATTTGTATAAATAATAATAATTTTTATGTTTCCCTTATTTCTTACATATTATACTACATAATTATTTAAAAGTATAAATTAGAAGATTTTTAATCTTTTATAAAATGAATCTAGAAGGTCTCTTCTATTAGTAATTATTTTCTAAAAAAAATTGTATTAATTATGAATTAATTTTTAGTTCAATAAATAGAAAGTGAAATAAAGAATTTTCTTGAGTTCTTTTCGGGGAAATGTTGACAAAAAAATATATGAAGTATTAAAAAATTATTCTCTTTTCAATAAATAATTATTCATTTATATATATAATTTCATATATATATATATATATATATATATAATATTTATTATATTCTTTCGGTGATAAATATAAAAGTTATTATAAAAATTAAATAATTAATTAAATATATTTTATATTTTTTTACAATAAGTTTTATTTCATTAATTCAAACTCAAATATGTTTAGAAAAAAAATTATGATAAAAAATATTTTATAAATAT